CCGCGCGCCGTTTCCACACGGGGTCCCGCGCGGTCCTGGGCAGCCGCCGCCGCGCTTCCTCCTTCCCGGCCGGCCTTGCCCGAGCCCCGGCCCCGGTCCGCGCCCAGGACTTTGCCTTGGGCCTGCTCACAAAGCGTGCAAAAGTTGGATTCCTGTAACTGAGCCCCGGCTTAAAAATGCAGGGCGAATTGCCGTAGTCCTCTTCCCCCTTCCTCGTTCTTTCCACACCCCTCCTCTCAGTGTTCGTTTCTGCTGCTAGACGACTTCGCAGGCGCCCTGTGCAGTGTTTTTCTGCAGTTATTTTTTGTTTTAATGGGAAGTGCAGTTCAGCAGGTACAGGAAAACAACATGTTTACTTAAGTATCTTGGGCGAATCTCAGTTTAATGTTCTGACAGTTGCAAGTCGTGCAGTTCCATTTTAGTTAGGATCTAGAAATGTTTAAAGGAGCAACCTTTCAGTAAGGAGTGTATCTTAAATTCCTGATTCTAAGCTCCTCAAGCATGAACTTGCATAGCAGCGAAATCAGTTCATACTTATTTGTGGTGAATAGTCTGTATTTTTCGCAGACAACGTGGATAGCAGGCATTAATGTTTTACGGGTTGTATTGAGATATAATTCACATTCCATACAGTGTAATTATTATAAAAGAATACATTTCAGAGGTTTCTCTTGTTCAGAGTTGTGCAGATATCACCATAATCAATTTTAGGACAGTTGCATCATTCCAAAAAAAAACCCCTATACTCATCTGGAGTCACTCCCCATTTTCTCTTTGCCCAGCCCTAAACAAACAAATCTACGGTTCTGCCACTATAGATTTGCCTGTTCTGTTTTTTACTCTGTAAATAGGACCATCGTGGCTGGCTTCTTTCGTTGTTTTCAAGGTTGAGCCCTAAAATAATGTAATTAGTACCAGGTCCCTTGTTATGGTACTAATGCTCAACAACTTTGTATTTTACTTAGGCATTCATCAGTAATGGACATTTGGTTTCCCTTTCCATTATTGTGACTAATCCTGCTATGCACATTTCTGTACAGGTTTTTGTGTGAACATGGTTTTGTGTTTGCATATGGAATTGCCCTAAAACTGTTTAACATCTGAAGGGGCCGCCACACTCTTTTTCCAAAGTGGCTGCGGTATTTTACAGTCCTAGTAGTGTTTTAGTGTTGCAGCCTTTTACACGCTTACCAACATTTGTATTATGGCTTATATCTGGATGACCCCCAAAGGCCATGGGCTCAGAGATGGGGTTTCTGGGAGGTGAAGGGATCATGGGTGTGTGGTTCTAGGCTAGTCCACTGATGGGTTTATGGCTGGTTGCCATGTGGAGAGATGAAGCGGGTGGGAAGAGGTGGGTCACTGTGGGCGTGCCTGGCAGGGTGTATATACTGTGCACTGGAAGGGTGTATCCCTCTGCTCCCCTGATCCCTTCCTGCCTGCCATGCCGTGCCCTGCTTGTCCTCTGCCATATCTGTCTGCCATGTTGTCTTGCCTTGGAGCCAGCCAACTCTGGACTGAAACATCTTCAAACTGAGAGCCATAATAACTCTCCTTTAACTTGTGGGGGTTAGATATGTTATCCCAGCAATCAGACAGTAACTAAGACAATTGTAATACGCCTGTTTTTTTTAGAGACAGTCTTCCTATGTAGTTAAAGCTGACCTTTGACTGTATGTATGCCAGGCTGGCCTTGAACTCCCTGAAATCCTCCTGCCTCAGCCTCCCAAGTGCTGGGATTACAGGTGCACACCACCATGCCATGCTGTAACCTGTTTTTTAATTATAATGTAACATTATAATGAGTGGATGTGAAATAGCATTGCATTGTGATTTTGATATACATCTCTCTTAAGGCTAATGTTGAGCATATTTTCACGTATTTATTGTCCATTTTTATATTTTGTTTGGAGAACTGTTTAGATTCAGTGCCTATTTTTAAATTGTCTTTTTAGGTTTGCATGAGGCTTTAAAAATGTGTTCTGCATGCAATTACTTACCAGATAAATGATTTGGAAATATTTCTCTCATTCTGTAGGCTGTCTTACTTTCTTGATAACATCTTTTGAAGTACATAGTTTTAATTTTGATGAAGTCTTGATGAAATGCAACTTTTCTGTTTTTTTTTATCACTTTTGTGTTGTCATATTTAACAGATTTACTCTTATGTATTCTTATAAGGGTTTTATATTTTTAGCTGATCTCTAAGTTTGTAATCCATTTGAGATTAATTTTTGTGTGTGGTGCAAAAAGGGGTACAATTTCATTTTTTTGCATCTGGTTGTTCTCACATCAGTAGTGGAAAAAGCTCTTCTTTCCCAAGTAAATTGTTGTGGCACCTAATCAAGTGTAAATTGACCAGAGATGTATGAGTGTGTTTTTGAATTTTCAGCCTTATTACTTTGGCTGTCTTTATGTTAGACACTACCATACTGTTTTGACTGCTGTAGCTTTCTGTACTGAGTTTGGAATCAGAAAGTGAGTCCTTCAGGATTTTATTTTTCAAGATTATTTTGACTGTTCTGAGTCTCTTACCTTTCTGTATCACTTTTAAAATTAGCCTGTCAGTTTTTTGTTTTTTTTTTTCATTTATTTTTATTTTTATTTTTATTTTTTTTTTTGAGGCGGGGTCTCGCTATGCAGTTCAGGCTGGCCTTGCGCTTACTTTGTAGCCTAGGCTGGTCTCGAACTCGCAGCGATCCTCCTGCCTCAGCCTCTGGAGTGCTGGGATTACAGGCGTGTACCACCACGCCCAGCCTTTTTTTTTTTTGGTCTTTTTTTTTTAGCCTGTCAGTTTTAAATATTAGGTTTTACAGTTGCAATTTAGAAACACTTTTATGGAGATTGTTTAAAAAATTGATGTTCTTTCGAATGTTTTGCTTTTTTATGTTTTTTTTTTGTTTGTTTGAGACAAGATCTTGCTCTGTAGTTCAGGCTGGCCTTGAACTCACTGTGTAGCCCAGGCTGGCCTCGAACTCAAACTGGAAGTGATCCTTTTGGCTCAGCCTCCTGCATGCTGGGATGCATTGTCATGCCTGCCTGTTCTGCATATTTTTGATTTTATTAATGTTTTTAAATTTGTTAATTTAATTCCAAATTGTGTCTTAACATTTAAAAGTTATGTTTTATTTTTTAAATTGAGCTTTGGGCATAACCTTGTTTGTTGTTTTTTGGCTATTTTGAATAATACTTTTCTGAATATTTTTGTACATATTTTTGGTGCTCTTTGCTTGTCCCTGTTAATGGAGCAATGGGAATAAACTTTAAAATCTGAAATCTGCGGAGAACCCCAAATCTAATTTATGCTTCAGTTTTTGCCTTCATTCCTACTAATGAGAATAAATAGTAAGGAAGACCATTTTGTTTTATTTTCCACCTTGAAATTAGGGCGGAAAGCTCTAATTTGGAGTATTGAGCTTCAGTGGGGATGAGTGCAGAGGCACACACTTGCAGTTCCAGCACTGGGAGGCTGAGGCATGATTATGAGTTTCAGCCCCAGGTTGGACACTTTAGCACTTTAGTAAGACTTTTTGTCAAAAAACAACAAAAAAAAAACAGCAACAACAACAACAAAACAATGCTGGAGATGTAGTTCACTGCAAAGGCCTTGGCTGGATTTAATCTCTAGAGTCAATTTCCCTTCTTGCTTTAGAGGAGGTTAAATGAGTTGGGAAAATCTAAGAACTAACTAGCTTCTGAGAATATGACAGTTGTGTGTTTAAAGTAACTTTAAAAATTTGTATAGTTCAGAATCATTTATGAAATAATTTTTTAAAATAGAGAATCTACAATATTAATTTTTCTTCCTCTTCCCTAATGTTTAAAGTGGCAGTGTCAAGAGGAAATAAAACCTGTCACATTCCAAAACATGTTGTACACATAAGTATATATAATTTTTGTCAATTAAGAAAACTCTTTGAAGTGATGTAATGGGAACATTCAAAGTTTTAGGTTTCTAACAAAACAACTTGTTAATTGTCTTTGCTTCAGGTATATAAAGGCAAACTTTTCTGTTGTGTTATTTTGTTAGAGGAAAATTTGAATCATTGAAACTGTCTTCAAGTTATTTTGAAAGTAGCACATCCTTTTTCTTTATAGATTTTCTTAATTGAAACTATATTCTCAATTGAAAATTGCTCTTCATAATATTATGCTTTGAAGAAAAAAATGTGTTCAAAATTTCCTATACAGCAGGTGTTTTGTTACTGATAAGGCAGTTGCCACAAAGTATAGTACCATTGATAATCAGGCTGAAAATGCTTTTCTTTTTTGTTAAAATTGAAAAACAAAATAGTTTTGATAGCAAAAATCCATACCATTGTCTTTTAGTGTGTAAAAATAATTGTTAGCCCTTCAAAAGATTATGTAACTAAAGGGTATTGAGCAGTTTTACAAGGAGGAAGTGTCTCTACATGCTGTTTTTTTTGAAGGAAGAGTTGTGAATACTAGTTTACAATATTCTTGACATTGTACTACTGACATTGTACTATGGTAATTGAATACTAGTTTACAATATTCTTGACATTGTACTACTGACA